ACAACGTCGATGAAACTAGTGAAGAAAGGAAGAAAGGAGGATAGAACTACTTACTTAAACTTATAAGATTCATACTTTATCTACAGACGGGGTATACCGCGAGTACGAACGATGCTTGGATCATCCAAAGCTAATTTCCAAAACACTTGCCAAAATACAATATCGAACAGCGTAACTTACATGCTGCCTCATTTCCTTGACCTTCTTCTCAAAGTTTTTCTCGGCTCTAGTTTCTTTTTGTGTAGCGCGCAATTTCTTCTCCGCTTCGAATTCCTCCCAACTACCGTAAATTTCAAGCATCCGCTCAACTACCTGAATTACCATCATCAGTACTATAAGACAGTACCATCAAGGTTACAGAACGATGAAGAAGTCCTGAAAGGGCTGTTCAGTCAAGGACAAGATGGTATTACCTGACATTTCAGATACAGCTTCATGTCACCATAACGTGGATTATGAGGATTCTTTTTTGCCCAGTAGCGTAGTACTGGTTTCCGTAGATCCAGATCACAGTCCTTTAGCAAGTAAAATGATTTCGCCTCAGTTCGAGGAATCAATTTATGTTCACCCAAATCGTCCCTGAAACAAAAACATCGAGAAGTGTTCAGTGAACCATGAGAATAGGAACGTCGGAACGGAATAGGACAAAGTGAACAATGGTAAGAGAAAGGACAAAGAGGAGGGAAAGATGGTAGGGTAACGAATCTCCTGAAATTCTTTTAAGAGCAGCGGGCATAATGGCGGGGGGGGGTACACCAAACTTATTGGTGGAAGGGCTACGAGAGGGCGTTCGGCCAAACCCATCTAGCCCTTCCACCAATGACGATGGAAGTGATGCCCCGCCCCGTGCCCAGTGCCTCAATCGGGCATACGGAGAAACTGAAAACAGGGACTGAGCAAGCGGTATAAACTTAATTCGAACTGAAAAAAATCAAATCACAGAAAATTCCTGAAGCACCTGCAGCCGTCACACACGGGATGGCTGTATCGTTCCCACAACCATGAGTCGAACATCGGTCGCTTGCACTTAATGCAGGTATCGGGGCATTCTTGGTTGGCAAACTTTGCATCCGCTCCTGTAATAAAACGATTAACCTTCGCTTTGAAATGTGAGAGGTGAACTGATTCTGCGAAACACCTTATATACACTTATAAGTTAAACAAACTCTGCTGTCTCGACTGGCTTATTTTCTCGCGTCGTTCTTCATACTCATCGTCATCGTCCATAAAACCACCAGCTGCATTGAACGAGGGTTGATTTTGCCTAGAATTGAACGCGGTAGTACTAAAGTAGTACTCCGTGATCTGAAAGACCCTCACGAATAACAAGAAACGTTAACATACCTATACAATTTCTCTACTATTGGAATCTTCTCCTCCTCCGATGGATTGAAACGCCGTTTCGACATAGTTTCCTGTGCAACGAGTTAGTTACCCGAATACGCAGGCCACACTGAAATTCGATAGTTTAATTGTCTATAAGCTGATGATTGGTAGTGATAGTAAAACTAGTCAATGGAATGGGAAGTCATTTCCTACTAGCTTCTGATTGACATCAATTATCGTGCAGATTTTTGAAGCGCTTTATCGAAGTCAATGACTTCATAACATTTCTACAACCATTCTATCCTTTTCCCATTTTCCCCTTGCCTTTTCATTAGACATCAAACTAGCAAGCAAAAAATTGAAGTGGAATGAGCTCATAAATGTACAGTAAGAGATAAGGGACTGAAAAATTACCTCTCAACCAGGTTGACCGCACCCTAGGGCAGTTGTTTCGAAAGCGGATGCTCTCCTACCGGCGGGAAGAAAGTTCACAAAAAGTTCATCCGCAATATCGCGTCGAGGCTGCTCGGACGCAGTTTCACAGACTCCGCTAATACCTGCTGGTTTCCTTTTTTGTTGTTTATTTGTGCTTTATCAGTAATTGAGAGTGTTTGTTGCCACTGATTACATTACTTCTATCAATGAAATTCTTAAAAGGGCTGTTAGTTGGAGTAACCAATTTCCCAACGCTGTTTGTGTCAAAACGCAATTCCACGTACTTCTTTTGGAAACCTTATTAATTTTCCATTTTGAACCTCTTATAGTGAATTTGTGTTTATCGGGATAGTGCGTGGCATTACTGCATGTTTTCTAACTCATAAGTCCCATAAGAACTGTTTACCAGTTGTTAAAGTAGCGCTTTTGCTATTTATTCGATGCACTGATTTGGCTTGCTGTTCACTGCCGTAAATTCTCCCACCATGGAACGGCAGTGTCCCTTTCGCAACCCTAGATGCCGGTTGAAAAGCGTTAGATAGTCCATTTTACGTAATGTATCGAATGTCACTCCAACTGAATAAAATCTCTTCGGGTACAGGTCAGGAAGTCCATGTTGCGGCGACAGGCGGCAATTAGGTTGTATTCTTGGAAAGTTGGCTCAGTGCATTGTGGTACGTTGATGTTAATGTGGTCTGGTGCTGGCCCGACTGTCGCGACCGTGACATCGCATCGCCGCAATGTGGGCCGAGAGATGGACCAGGCGTACGGTACGGCGATGCATGGCAAATTCTCGGTGTGCATAAGTTTGTTGTTTGGAGCAGCAAAACTCGAATGAATTCAAGCACTCGCAGATGGGTTCTTGGAGCGCAGGCATGGCTTCATGACGAGTCATATCAGGTTTTCCCGTTCCTTCATTACTAAAGTTCGAACAGCCGGACAGGACAACTTGTCCGTCGGGCGCGGTGCCGCTTCCCCCCCCACGCCCATTAACGTGGCACACTGTCTTGTCACATAATCTTCGAGACGTGCTCCCCTGCTTAGCCATTTGAATTTAAATATCAGAGGGTTCTGAGGTTCCTCACGCTACTGCGTTTCTAGCACTAGCTAGAGTATAGGAAATGGCCAACAGCACGTGAAATATGTGCGGAAATACGAAAAAGATAGAAAAATGCGACAATCCCTTTGAGTTCCGCTGCTCCTTTCGAGGAATTGACACACACCATAAATTTCCCGTGCTCATCGCTTGACGGTGCGTCGCGCGCGACGGCGCGGCAATTTGCGATTCTCTTGTCCGTCTCCCGTGGTTCACTTGTACGCTTTCGCTACATCACAAGAGTTTACAATGGTCACAAAAAGGGGAACTAGCAAAAGTCCAAAATGCCCCTCATTTTGGTTAATTAGGAACCCATAAGTTAGTGCTTCAGTTCGGTGCCATTAACTGATAATCACACCAGAGACACGACAATCCACTTTCTTTCGTAGCAGCTATCTGTCACCTTATCAGTGATAACCGCACTCGATAGTGTAACGAAGCATCTTCCGTCCCCATCGACTTTTCGTTGCATTGCTTTCGAATACTTGTTTTGCTGAATTTTCCATGTGAACTGGAGCTTTCTTACTGCAGAAACTGACCATTCATTGATCCTCTACTGCTCCTTGTACCTTGATAACCTCGAGTTGCC